ATAATAAATACATTTTTTGAAAAATCATGTTTTTTTATTACTTTATGAATATAAAATAAGTAATAACATTATACATTTTAACAATTATATTTTAGATTCTGAGTGGAACGATGAATGTATTGATTTTACAATGATGTGTGTTTTTTTATTATTTTATTTTTTTATTTTTTTTGTGTCTGTGTACGCGATAAGTAGTCGAAATAATGCTTCAATTTTCGACTTCAGTATCTTGTTCGATTGGAAAGTGAATATCGTTGGTGCATTGGGGAGGTCAAAATTTTAATTTCCCAGTACTTTTCAAAAGCGCCAAGAAAAACAAAAGAAAAATTAAGGAAAAACGGGAATTTTTACGCAAAATCGATTTTTCAGAAAATTGAATTTGGTTTTTGGTGTAACTTTAAAACGAATGACCGTAGATACGTGAAATTTTCACTGGTTGTTTATATTTGCATTTTCTATACACGATAACATTTTTAAAATATTTTAATTTATTTTGAACTGTTTAGGGACATTTTCATTTTTCATTTTTTTTTTAGTTTTTAGTTTTTTAGATTTTTTTAAGAAATAAAATAAATATTTAATGTCACGAAAAAGGTGTTATCCAAGTGTTGTAGACGCATATCTTAGTGCCGAACTAGAAATGTATAAAATACACGCGAGATCCAAACGTCGTCGTCGTTTTTCCAGTTCCCGGTTGTAGAATAATTATAATTTAAACTTGAATACCCCAGTCCCCAATAGTAAAAAAAATAAATAAGCCATTAATATAGTCATATAGTTCGTTAAGCCGTATATATTATAATGTAAGTTTTAACACAAATTCGCACATTTCGTTATGTTCAGGTAATTTTCATAAAATATTTCGATAACTGAAGGGTCCAATGCAACAACCAGTCAACTTCATTTTTGAGCGAAATCGTTTTTTCATTGATATGATAAAGAATAAAATTATTCACAAATGGGTGCAACAAACGTACTTCTCCGTTAATTTTTAAATTAAATATGAGTAAAAACGGAGTTGTCTGATTGTGAATTTAAGCGCAACAAATAGATAACTCCGGAGTTGTCTGGTTGTTACATTTTGTTTACAAGTTTCTCATCATTTTGTTACATTCTTTACATACTATACAAGGATATTCTAACTAAATAAACTTAGTATTTTTCAATCCCTATTTTTAATTGATTTTTGAACTTGTAAACTTTCAAAAAACATGATATATTTTGGACAACAACCAGACAACTCCTAGTAGTCCTTAACTTCCAATAATTATTGAGCCTAATGGAACTTGCATAAAGGTTATTGTCATATTTCATATGATACAACAAGTAATTTATAAATAAATAGTATAAACAAAATTATTCTATAAAATTAATTTGTTCATTAAAACAGTTTATATGCTCTCCTGAAAAATTAATGAAAATGGAAAAATGTAATTAAACTATACAAGTTGCTACATGCCTTAGAACATTAGCTTAAACAAAATGATTTCAAGGAATAAAATATTTTAACTCAAACATAAGAATTGCTCTCCTGGACAATTCCATAAAAACGATTTAGAACCTTTTCATTCTAGACCCATGAAGTTACAACGAATTGAGAAAGATATTGCAAAAATTAATTGCCGAAAATCGTTAGTTTTTAATTGAAAATGATAGGGAAGTCTATTTTAAAGTTATAGCTAATTGAAATGTTTGGTTATCTCATATATACCTACCCGGCGTATTCACTTGCACGCCTGTGCTCGCTCGGACAACTATAATTAAAAACATCCCTCGACTTGATATGTAAAACTTGTTATGAATTATTTTGCTCCATCATTCTGAAGACGTTGATTTAACTAGGTTAAAAAAATTGTTATTTGTTATACCTACTTAAGCTAGGTAAACTTTAAGCGTTGTACGGGTGCGTAAAACACTGAGTGCTTAGTTATTTCAAGTTATTTCAATTGTAAATTAAACTATTTAAGTTCATAAGTTGATTAGAAAATAAACTAACTAGTTAAGTTAAAAAGTTAAAAAAAATTAACTTTTTAACTGAACTTTAACTTTTTAACTAGCATTAATGCCCATCTTTGATAATAATGGTATGTGTTCTGACGTATTGTGCGTTGTATGATCGACACAACTAATTTAGCACATATTAATACGACATGCCACTATGCCAGATAAGTAATAATAATTTTGTTCTTTGTTTTTTGTTCTTCGTGGTGTACCGAAATAACATATGGACGACGTGTGTCCGGGGTGCGATTTCCGTACAGGTAACATAATAATTATGTTGGTAATTACCATAATACCATTACTGATAACTTCATGCGTGGAATATGACACGGACGATAAAATACCTACTATAATATTCTGTCAACGATTTCGCGCAAACAACAATGGTACGTGTTCCGATATTAGGCATTCGTGTAGCAGAGGATTTACATTTAACCTTTAATACATTTGGTTTGGTTTTCAAAAATGTTTCATTTAACGGAAAATTGTTAAATGGAAGTTCCGTATATACAGAATTTTTGAGGTAGTTAGTATTTGGTGATCTATAAAATTGTATAAAATATACTTCTCACTTCTCAGTTATCAACAGTTACCTTCACATTTGTTTTGTAATTTGTATAGTATGCATGATTATAGTACCTATTACTCCCGAACTCTTACTTGGATATTTTATTGAATCGTGCTGGGTCACAGGGAAATTATTGTGCAAAATACTAAAAATCTGGGCAAGTGGATACCACTCTGATATACTGATATTCAGTAGGTAGGTTTTGAGTAGAATGTGTTAAATTCGAATTCAATGATATACAGATATACTATCGTATATGAAAAAAAGATTCTGAGCAGAAACGGTCTGTCGCCCAATTCAAGTTATAACTTTTTTTTTTAAATTTAAATTTAAATCTAAATGTTTTTATTCAACAAAAATTGTATTTACAATCTGTAATAAACATGACAATGAGTAAATGGGATGTAGATTGATTAGAGGGAGGGGGAAATCACCTAATGGTTTCACCCCTTATGTTATAACTTATAACTATAAAGTGTAAGTCCAGTGATGTAAAAAATACTGATAAAAATAAAGTATTTAAAATACCACCCAAATACTATTTATAGTCAAGTATTTGAAATAATTTTCAAACAGGTAGGTACAAAAAAAAATTCTATTGTTCTGAACTTCTGAAATGATTTATTTTAGTCAAAAACTTGCTTATTGCATTTCAAAAACATGAGTTCAATAGTCAAAATTCTGATCAGCCATGTTATTAATTTTTTTTTTTTTTTAGTGATGGTTTCACACTGTACCACCAACACAGAACAAATTAAGAATTAAAGGAACAAAAAAAGCACTCAATAGTAAAAAAAAAAATAGTATTAAAAAAGTACTTACCTATTTGAATAGTTTTACTCAAATACTTAACAACACTGACTGTATTAACTATATTTTATCATATTATTACTAAACGGTCAGCCACTCAGCCAATAGGATATTTTATATTTTTAAATATTTCTTATTTCTTATAATTATTTATTTATAATCTAATTTTGTTCAAATGTCTATAAAAATAATAAAGCATATAATAGGAGAGGGCACCATCTATTTAACATTTAATGCATACTCATCTGTGGTGGATCTTATAAAAACAGAAATGACACAAAATAAAATATTTTATTCAGTTTATGAAGCTATTTTTTGTAAATAAATGTGAACTAACAACTTTGTTTTTCTGCAACCACTTTTATACTACATAATTTATATCCCAGGATTCGACTTATTAAAACCATCATGATTTAACCAATAATACAAAAATGATATAAGCTCAGATCTGACCCTGCAATTAGTTTCAATACAGTAAAATGAGGTAACTTTGATTATTTTTTACTGTTTTATGACAATATTACTTTTTATTTTATGGATAACTTCTGTAGTATTAATGATAAAACTCTGCAAATTAAATATTAGTTACAGCTAGTTATGATCAATATTTTAATGTTTTAATTATTTCTGGTGTTATCTTTTGAGATATCAAACTTATTAATATGCTATCAAAGTTACACAAAGATATTGTAAATTATAACACTTTTATTTATAATAATTATAAAATATGAAACTTAAATGCAATTATATTATGTAACTTATATTTTTTTTTTTTTTTGTATTGATTTACCAGTGGCAACTTAGGCCATTGGGTGGTTTTTTAACTGTGGGGAGGGAACTGTAGGTTTGGTAAACACGTGTGTTAATGGATTTTGGCAGAATTTCAAATTGGGCACCCGTAGGTTTCTGCCATGCCCGGTCGGGGAATAACGGCCTCTCTCTCTAGACAGTTGACTGGCCAGAAAGAGGAGCCGTCCGTGGTCGAGATTCGAACCGACGCCTTGGCCACTCCGTCTCCTTTATATTAATTGTTATCTGCTAACAAAATAAAATTAAAACTTGAATCTACACACTAAAGACATTATTACATTCATTATTAAATATATCAGAAATTATTATTCTTAAGTTTAGTGTAAATGAATACGCAATTAAATAAAAATCGGGGACTTATTTATTATACATGGGTAGGTATGCAAAATGTGTAAAAACCTATAGTAAGATTATCAAAAGAAAATATATTCGATGAAGCAAAATAGAACATAATGTTTTGCGAATTTCCTATTCAAAAATATAATTGAGCACCTACAAAAGAATGATTTTTTTTATTATTATTATTTTAATGTGTCATTCACAATGCTTATACAAATAAAAAAATACCAATATAATAAATAAAAATAATTATTTCGGTAATACTTACCAATATAAATAAAATAAATAAATTCTGGCGTTAAGTACACAAATATTGTAGAAATTATTTAAATTCAATTTTTTAATATAAATATAGAAATACAAATTAAATATTTTTTAAGATCACATTTTTTTGACATTGGTATTAAACTGTTAACTTTTTTTTAATATTAATATAATTCAATTTTCTCCCTTCGTCTAGTATAATAATACACTAATCAGCTGTCGAGTCGGCGGTGACGGCGGTGACGGCGGCGAGTTGAAGAGCCTGCTGCATATGTCCGTTTTCCCATTTCTTTTTGTGTTGATCAACACCAAATCCCTCGTTATAATTTCCTTTGGATATGAACAGCCGCTTGAAATGCGGCAAACAGTACAGACGTTTGTTATTCCATGTAAACGTGTCCATTCTATAGGTACATAAATAAAGTTTAAATTTAAAAAAATAAAGGTGGGAGAGTGGGTGTCGCTATGCTGTACAGTAGGTTACAAGTGGGTCACTGTAATGGATGGTGTTAAATTTGAATTCAATGATATATCATTGTATAAGAAAAACAATTTTGAGCGAAGACGGAATGATATTATACAAAGTATATTTAGGGGAGAGTGGGGTAAGTTGACGTACCGGGTAAGATGACGAATTCAAATTTTAAATGATAAAACGATATCTAGAAGTGTATAACCACAGAACAATATAGAATAGACACTCGATCAGCTGTGAGGGTTTACGTCTTAGATCATATACTATGGATGGAGCCACTGCGTATTATAGCAATACAAAAAGTTGAAGCCGATATTAGCGACGAGTCACCGAATTAGGTGATCGATATGCGCATGCGCGAAACAACTCGTTTAATATTAATATTATAATCACCAGCTGATAAATATGCGAGAGGTTGCGTTGCACATGCGCATATCGAACACCTAATTCGGTGACTCGGCTGGGATGGGGACAGTTATAATATTAATATTAAACGAGTTGTTTCGCGCATGCGCATATCGATCACCTAATTCGGTGACTCGTCGCTAATATCGGCTTCAAAATAATATGCAGTGGCTCCATCCATAGTATATGATCTAAGGTTTACGTATCCCTACGGTATGATGTATTGGACTATAAAAGTTGTACCGTATCCGTAATCTGATAGAACGTTAGCAACGTGTATCCCTCTTTGTTACGGAACTTTTATAAACGATTTTATATGAATTTTCATATTTTAAGTATATCAATATTAAATTTTGGTAAAATGAATAAGGATTTTGTTTTAATATAAATTAAAAACTATAATGTAATTTTACATTGGTTTATTGTTAATGAAATAATATATTGTATTATTATTCTGTGGACTGATAATATTGATATGATTTATTTAAATGATAACATATGCCACGCCCCCTTAGAGACCGTGCTCAAGGCCACAGTCACCCGATTTTTCCAATACACAGAGTGTCTATACCCTGGTATAACCGAACAAATAATATATGTTTAGTGATAATTTAATATTTTGATTAACAAATATCTCTTATATTATAAAACACAAATAGTCTCCGTTTTTTGCCACCAGGGGCGACGCGACAAATAAGGAATTCCGCGTTTCTTCCATGACGACCAATCATATTACTTCTCGCGCGACGCAGCAAATAAGCAACTCCGCGTTTCTTCCATGACGACCAATCATAATACTTCTCGCGCGTTCGCTAAATTTTCACGTCGCCGCTCGCTTATCTCCCTTTTCGTTATTGTCTATTGACGACATTGACGTGAATATTTTCGAATATTATTTTCCCGAGTTATTCCGTATTTCTATATATTATATAATATAATAAAAATAAAAAAGTGCGTGTGCGATTTTTACAAAAATTGTGATATTTCCGTGTGTAAAATATATAAAATATGTAAAACGCAATATTCAGAAACTGTTCAAGTGTTATGTAAATGTCATTATTATGAATTTTATTATCGTACCGTTGTGGAAGCCGCCATTCAGCCATTCAGAATTTCAATAATATTAAAAATATAAGTAGTTTGAATGCACGGATTAGATAGACATTTTTCACGAGTATTGCAGTACATTTAACTATTATAGCTAAGAGTTTTAGTAGGAGCTTGGTGTGTCGATTGTTTATGACAATGTCGTTACATACGTAATAAGGTAAGTAATAATAAGTAAATTCAATACATTTAAATACGAGGGGTAATTACAGAAAGTTTGTACACCAGATTACTGATTTAAATGATTATACCTATGATTTCCCATGACTTACTACAAAGATTACCTATGATTACACATGATTACCCCCAAGGTGTTTACCCCTCGATTATAATATACTAATATTGTATTACCAAGTTTAATTACTTCAATTCATACCTTATAACTGTACTAACCTTTACATTGGGTTACACGTATTAATTTTTTGCAATATTTCAAACAAATTTCAAAACAAGAAAACTACATTTACATAGGTATTATATGTTAAATTGAATTTAAATTCCTTCAAAGGTGTAAAACTATGCTTAAAATATTGTACTATTTGTCAACATTTTTATTATGTCGTTGGCATGCAAAAATGTATTATACATGATTTATATATATTATATTAATAAATACATAGGTATCATTTATATTCTACTTTTTAAAACTTTATTATAGGACAACTGTATGCAGCGTTTTCCCGAGTGAGGGACTCTCAATCCATAAAAACCATTAGAGTTGCTATGTACAGTGATGGCCGTGGTAGATTCGTCACTAAGAACATTGTGTACAGAGAAATTCTACAAGCGATATAACTGTACAATGAAGTCTACAAGAACTTAATGAACATCGAATCCGATCTGTGTGACACATGGTTTATAAGCAGTCGTAAGTACGACTCGCGGAGGAGAGAAAGTTCGACGACCTCCACGTGGTTCTCTCTGGATGCGGATTTTGTAATGAATACGTAACTGATGTCGAACATGCATTTAACCTGGCTGCGACTCGCACACTAGATGGTAAATTATTTAGAATTATTTATGTACTCTAAAAATATATCAGCAGATATTTGTATGCATTTGTATTATTTCAGAAACATTATACTAAAAATGACTATCAATGCAGATGTAACAGAAACAGAATCATTGTTGTACTGCTACTAAGGCATAGGGGAAATTCGACAACCTCTACGTGCTACTCTCTTGATGCGGATTTTGTAATGTATTTGTATCAAATGTCAAACATGCATTTAGACTGACTGCGACTCGCACACTAGATGGTAAATTATTTAGAATTATTTATGTACTCTAAAAATATATCAGCAGATATTTGTATGCATTTGTATTATTTCAGAAACATTATACTAAAAATGACTATCAATGCAGATGTAACAGAAACAGAATCATTGTTGTACTGCTACTAAGGCATAGGGGAAATTCGACAACCTCTACGTGCTACTCTCTTGATGCGGATTTTGTAATGTATTTGTATCAAATGTCAAACATGCATTTAGACTGACTGCGACTCGCACACTCTGTGGTAAATTATTTAGAATTATTTATGTACTCTAAAAATATATCAGCAGATATTTGTATGCATTTGTATTATTTCAGAAACATTATACTAGAAATGACTATCAATGCAGGTGTAATAGAAACAGAATCATTGTTGGACTGCTACTAAGACATAGGGGAAATTCGACAACCTCTACGTGCTTCTCTCTTGATGCGGATTTTGTAATGTATTTGTATCAAATGTCAAACATGCATTTAAACTGGCTACGACTCGCACACTCTGTGGTAAATTATTTAGAATTATTTATGTACTCTAAAAATATATCAGCAGATATTTGTATGCAATTGTATTATTTCAGAAACATTATACTAGAAATGACTTCATCAATGCAGATGTAGCAGAAACACAACAAAAAGATTCATCATTGTATCAATACTGATTACTAATTTGCAACTAAACCATACTCTGATAATCATAAGAATTACTACAGCTAACACTTAATTATTATTCATTGTTAATGTGTAACTGATGTAGCACATACACACACATATAAATATATGTATATACACTTAAATTGATTAATAGTAAGTTTCATACACAAATTATTATAATTTCAAAAGCATATATTATCTACTATAACCAAGGTTTGTAAGAAATTTTCAATTTTGTTGTATGTACAATATGTTTCATTTCTACGTATTGCAGTCGACGCACGATTCAATTAAATTTTTTTAAACATCATTAAACTACACTATATTGTATGTTTGAATTTGTATTGCTTAACAATGTCTTTTATATGTAATAAACATAATGAGGTATGATTAGATATTTTGCCACCGCAGATAATTTTCATTGAAAAAATATTATGCAATTACTGATTAGTAATACCTAATTGATTATACATTATTTGTAATTTAAAAAAGGTGCTCTGCTGTACTGTAGGTTATAAGTGGGTCACTGTATAATGGATGGTATTAAATTTGAATTCAATGATATAATATCATTGTATAAGAAAAACGATTCTGAGTGGAGACGGTATGTCAGTCTAGGTTAAGACATATTATATACATATTACATATATATTGTATTAAAATAAAATTGACCTATAATAAATTCCAAATTAATCATATCACAATATCCATTAGGTACTTATAAGCGTTATACATCAACAACAAACTGTGATACTATCATAGATATATAAATATAATAGTACATTTTAGAAGTTTCAAGTACCTACGAATAATATTATACAATCACAACAAAATAACTAAATTAGTTATTCTAGGTTTTTTAATATATAATTTCGTCCAAATTTAAATTTAAAATGTCTGTAAAAAATAACTGTGTTCATATATTTTTTTAGATTTTTTGGTTACAGTATGAACTATTCATGAGAACCTCTGTTTTAAATTTGCAGTCCTTAGCTATAAAAACTGAACATTTTATAATTTATTAATTACAATTATTGATAATGTTCGAGATTTTGATAAATTTTGTCAAAATTCGATCTTTAAATGCTTATAAAAAGAAATTGTGCATATGTATTTGAAATATTTTTCAAACTGATATTGTAACAATATATCAGGAGCGTTGTATTAAATTTTTATACTTTTTGACCCAACAGATAAAACTTTATTGATATTTATAGAAAAAAAAACTAAAAAAATCGAAAACTGAAAATGTCCGTAAACAGCTCAAAAAGAGTCACAATATTTTCAAAATTGTATAGTGTTTAGAAAATGCTAATATAAACATTCAGTGAAATTTTCATGTATCTACAGTTATTCGTTTTAGAATTACAACAAAATAACGAAATCGCTATATGAGAAATCGACTGAATCTCCAATGTTGTAAAAATTTGAATTTCAAACACTCATAAAAATTTAATTTGACTTTCTTATAGACATTTTTTTTTGATAAAT